TATTATTAATTATTAATTGTAATTATTTCTTAGGTAAAATTAGTAAAGGTAATAGCTTATTAATTAATTTTATAAATTTTATCCTTAACTTTAGGTTTTAGGCTATAGTAATATATTTCTTTTTTTAAGTCCTTAATTTAATTTACTTTAGTAAGTAATTAAATAAATATTAAAGTATATTTATAATATAGTCTTTTTTACTTAAGGTTCTTAAGTTTTTTTTTTATTTCTTAAGCTTTATTAATAACTTTAAATAATTTTTTAAGTTATATTTTAAAGCTCTTATAACTTTTAAATATATTTTTAATTAATTATATTTATTAATTAAGGGTATTATTCTTTTTATCTTTAAGGATTAACTTAAATTAATTATTTACTACTCTTTTTATTTATATTCTTATATATTAAATTTATTTTTCTTAATTATATTTAAGAAAAGTTTTTTTAAAGTAATATTTAAAATATATTTATAAGTTATTAAGGAATTTTTAAAATTTACTAATATCCTTATTAAACTTAATTAATTAATTTACTTTTAAGGTTTTTTTTAAATTTAGTTTTTTATTATTTACTAGCGCAGGTATTATTAATACTATAATAAAAGCTATAGTAAGTACTATAGCTAAGGCTATAGTAAATATAACTGCTAGTAAATTATTTAATTATTACTATAGGTTATTAATAGTTTAATTTTATTAATTAATAGTAGCTTAGTGTGCTTTTTATTATTACTATAGGTTACTTAGCTTTTTATTTTAAGTAGTAAAAGTACACTAAAGCTAGTATATTAGTTTTTCTATAGCTATAAGTTATATAGTAGCTTTTATATTATTAATTAATAATTAAAGTTCTTTTTAATTTAAATCTTATATTTTATAATTTATTTACTTAACTAAGTCTTAGAAGTTTTTAGTGTTTATTTTAATATTACCTATAGGTTTAATAACTATTTAAATAAGAGTTATTAATATATAATAACTTAATTATTAATATTTTAAATAGTTAATAGCTTATAGAATTCTTAAGGGATAAACTTAGTCTATAGTTTATATTAATAAATAAGTTAAAAGATTTATAGGTAATAGTAAAAGGTAATAATAAATATTATTAAATAGTAAGTAATATAAAGTATATTATAATTTTAATTTTATATTAATAATTAATTATTTAAGTTATTTAATAAGTATAAAGAAGTAAACTTATATATTTAATTAGCTAAATGTCCTTAGTATACTTAATAATTAAGTTTATTAAGTTATACTTAATATACTTAATAATAAATTCCATTAAGTAATATTTAATTAATAGAATAGATATATATTCTTTTATTCTGGCTTACCCAGTAGGCCCCTGGTCGCGACCATAAGTATTAGGTTATGACACCAGGTGATAGTTGTTTAAAGATCTGTTATAATATGAAATGTATTTTTTTTTAATGTACTGACTCAAGCTTTTTAATATACTCCTTGATAGTATTGCGATTCGTAAGAAGTGCTGTAACATATTCCTCCAAAGTAGTGCGGGTCTTTGAGCTTTCCATGAGGTCAAATTCGGTTATAATGAACGCTCCTCTTGTGTGGAGGAGTGATGTTGCATTAACTAGGTACTCGATATAGCGGCCCGTACCTTTCTCCTTGCGCGCAGTGTAAACCAACGACTCGAGATCTTCCAGGCTGCCTCGGTTGACCAGGTTAACTTCCTCTCCGGTCACCTTCGTCCAAGTGGCTGCGAACTCTTCAAGAGTAGAAGCTCCGGATTGCATTTGATATGTGCCGCCCTTGCCCGCCTGTATGTCCTTGCTCTGCAGGACATCAATCGTCCATTCGGCCACGTCATTGAGCTCAGACCAATGGATCTTCCGCTTGTTTCCCTGCCCCCAATATTCAATTGTGGGATTTGCACCAGTTGTGTCCCAGCCACCTGGTCCAAACGGACCGTATAGAAGGTCGGCGAATATTCCGACATTCATGAAGACCGGCTTTATAGAGCTGGTCATTGCTACCTGTTGTTTAAATGCAATGTGAGTGTTGTAGTGTTTATACTCGCCAAAAGATATTTTATCCAAAGGGTGGCCCCAGGACGAAGCGAGGAAGATAGTGACGCCTGCGCGTTCGGCGGCACGGAAGAGAAGGAGGTGACCCTCCAAGTCCAGTATAGCGGTGGGTGAATAGGCGCAGATAACAGCATCAACACCTTCGACCGCTGTTTCGAGTGCAGGAATGTCGTAATAGGTCTGAGAGGTGATGAATGATTCAATAATCCCAGTCTTCTTCTCGTCGAGCTTTGTGCGATCACGACCCAAACCTCGGACCTGTAAACCCCTCGAGGTTGCAACCTTTGCCAGGCGAGTGCCCAAGTTGCCAGTGATTCCTGCGATGAGAACAAGTATTGTTGTATTGTTTGAAAGCCTATTTTACTTTCTTAAGAGGTAATTATAAATAAACTATCGATCTAATACTTGAGAGATCAGATGAATTGATAGTAGATGATAGCAGTACTTAAGATGACGGGCAAGAAGGCTTATTTATAGAGTGAAAACAGTGTTATAAAATCCCCTACCTTGCAATATTGTTGTAGATTTTCGAAGTGACAGAGTGATAAATCATGATCATAAATCCGTAACAGTTATTTGTAAGCCACAGAAGGACCATAAGTTCTTAGTGTTACTACAGCAAGTCCTAGCACTTATAAACTCTATTGATTTTAAGTGAAGTATAAAAATACACTATAGTAAAGAGTAAGTAAATACTGTCACGACCTAACTCTTATGGTCGCACTAATAGGCCTACCGGGTAGGTCTCGCCAGATTAACAACAGACTAGCGCACCAATAAAGAGCAACTTATCGCTCTCATTAAATAAGTCCAGTGAGTTAACTTATTAAACTCATTAAATAAGTCTAATAAGTCCATTAACTTAACTAAATATATAAGTCCACTTCTCTACGCTTATTTAAATAACTTAAATAGCTAATTATTAATACAGAATTAAAATTACAATACACTCTGCACTACTTACTATCTAATAATATTTATTACTACCTTTTACTATTACCTATAAATCTCCTAACCTATCCGCTAATATAAACCATAAACTAAGTTTATCCCTTAAGAATCCCATAAGCTATTAATTATCTAAGATATTAATAACCGGGTTATTACATATTAATAACTCTTATTTAAACAGTTACTAAACCTATAGGCAATATTACAACAATAGCTAACATTTAACTACCAGCGGACCTAATAAACTAAGATCCCCCTGCTAACCTATAATAAGCACTATTACCAGTGCTTACCTTAGAATAGCAGGCAATTAACGCTCTTTTCACACACATTAAGGCCCTAGAGAAACTAATAAATAAATAAAAAACCACTATTAAAGAATAAAAAAAATAATTAAACGCCTATTATATTAAGGAAAAGGGAGAAATTATTTAACCCAAACAGCCAGATAACTATAATAAAAACCCTAGTAATAAAGAGAAGTACTTTAATAAAGTAAAAACCTACTTTAAGTACTTTACTACTACCTTAGCAGATAATAAAGATAAAGTTCACTTTATAGCTAATTACCTTATAAAAGTAGCTAAAGAATAATTTAAGCCCTATATAAAGGACTAAAATATAAACCTTAATTAAAAGGACTTAAAGAAAGAAATTAAACACATCTTTAAAGAATATTAAAACTATAAGGATAAACTCATTAAGGCTTTTAGAATTATAAATAAATAATAAGAAGCTAAGAAATAACTTTAAGCTTTAATCTAAAAGGGACCTTTATTTAAATACACCGTAACCTTTAACTAACTTCTTTAAAAAATTAACTGGACTAAGGAATCTAAAAAGGAACGCTATTATATAAGCATTAAACTAAAAGTTAAAGATAAGCTCTTTAAACTTAACAGAGATAAAATAAGCTTTATTAAATTCACTAAAGAAGCTATTAAAATTAATAATTATTAATATAAGTAAAAGTAAGAACACAAGGCGGAAAAATCTAAAAACCTACCTAGGTTTTAACCATAAGCCAATTAAGGCAAGAAGTAATAAAAGTATATTATAAAAAATAATAATACTTAATTAAGAAAAATAAATATTAATAACATTAATAAAAGGAAGTTTAATAAAATCTATAATGCCTGTCCATTAATCCACTGGTTGTTCAACTGCAACAACACGCTGATTACTAGTAAACTGCCGATATGCGCGAATCATGTAAAGTTGAACAACGCGACCTAAAACAACCATCTTTATTGGCTAACTCT